AGCCCCATCCCGTTGAGCGGCGCCCACGAAACCGGCTTCCCCCATGTTGCTGCTGCTGATGCTGCTGCTGACATCGTTGTGTGGGCAGCTCATAGGGCAGCGAGGGGCTCCCTTGCGGTTGAGTGGGTGGCGGGCGGGCGGGCGGGCAGGCGCGCAGGGCGTCACAAAAAAACACAAGGCTGACATTTTGTGGTACAATGTAGTCGATAGATTTAAATAAACTTGTGCACGACTCTCATTCCTATTGGGAGCCGTGGCGAAATTGCTCGCACGTTGCGCAAAGAGCCCGAGTTCAATTCCCGTTCACGGCTAACCTCTGTGGGTGGTATTTGATGTCTTAATCCATCCTGGTCTACACCCCTTCACCCACCCGCACTGACCGGTGTGGTGAAGTATGGTTAAATCACCACCATTACCTCCACGACACAATGTCTGTAATTACAGTGTAACAATTTTTTTTGTTCCTGGGTAGTAAGTGTTATTTTCTAATTGCTTATGCCTCGAAAGTACAGAAAATGGCTATTCCCCATAAACTTTGCTTTTGTGACCAGGATAGTGATAGTCTAAAATTTACCTATTTTCCAGAACATTCCAGATAGTTCATAGTTCATAGTTAGTTCATAGTTCCATTTATTTGGTATAGCCCTGTGAGCCATTCGGCTCTTGAATCGGGTGCAACCGCAACAAACAAAAACATGAACAAGAAAACATCTTAAAGTGACTATGTGACTATGCAAACAGAAAATCAAGGAAAAAAATTCAAAATATTCCTGAAATAGCACCGTACACCAACGCTGTGTGCAAAAATCCCTGTGGGATGCAAGCCAAACAACAACAACCACAAGACAACTAAGATTAAGGCCATCAGTCTAATTCCGTACTACAATAAAAAAAAACTTGGCCAACCCAAAAAACTTTTTGAAATTACCAAAATAAAGCCATAAATGCAATGTAACAGTGATCATAGGGACTGTGACCGAATTTTTTACAATAAACTACATAAATAACATTTAACACCAAACCCTAGAGCCATAGCTGGCTGCATGAGTCACTCCACAACAGCAGGAGCATCAGTCGGAGTATCACATTTTTCAATGCACCTTTAAGATCAGCACACTAAATCAAAATACAGAAAATACTTTGCAGCGGTCATCTGGAGCGAAAGATTGTATTTTATTTTAGGCCACTGAATAGCAGTGGCAGCTAGGGGTGTACAACTCCTCTAGAGCAGTTTTGAGTGAAGATCTCATAGGTAGTGTTTCAAGTTGCAGTTTATTGGCAATAGCATTCCAGACCCTGGGGCATCAATATCAAAGGCCCTTCCTCCGGTTTGTGTACGGCAATAGGGAATGTGAAACTGGTAAATGAGCGAAGACCTGAGGTCAAATTTGTTCTTTGAAACAAAGAGGAGATCCAGCAGGTAGTCTGCGGGTTTTTTTGTAAGTACATCGTGAATAAATACGATTTGGTGCACAAGCCGTCGAACATTAAGAGATGTTAAGTTTGACCCAATGTAGAGATCACAGTGGTGAGTCCTATATGGGCAGTTCAATGCAAATATTAAGGCCGAGTGATAGATGGAATCAAGTTTCTTCAGTACAGTACTTGGGACTGATTTATACATGATATCACAGTAATCAAGTAGAGGCAGTATGGTAGCTTTTATCAATTCCAAACGGAACATAGGGGGGAAACAGTGCTTGTGTCGATACAGAAAACCAATTTTTATTTTTGTCTTTTTACCAATGTAATTAATGTGATCTTCAAAATTCAGTTTTGAATCCAGGATGACCCCAAGATACTTATAGATCTTGACTTGCTCTATTTGATAATTATTTAAGTGCTGAGTAAACTTGGAGTAACTTCTAGAACATTCTAGAACTTTCCAGTAATATCAATAGTAGTATAAGCCCACAAGTTCAGTTTAGTTCCAGCTGCCTAAGTGGATACATATCTGCATTTTTCTGAGATGGCGTCAAGAGGCTACAAGTATCCGGCAGACGCATTCTGCTATGTCTGCGGCCAATTTATCAAGGCAACAGCGAAAAAGTACTCTGTGGAATCATCTGCTAAGAAGTGAGGCCTACAAGGCATATTTCGGCATGCCTTTCGGGGATCAAGACAAACCCTGGGTACCTCATTTCACCTGCGAGTAATGCAAAAAAACTCTGGAAGGTAAGATGGACAATTGTTGCTCGGAACTTTATGTTATTAAATTTGTTAAATTCTCTAAAATTGTAAAGTTTTTTTATTTCAAATGTTTAACAATTTTCAATGTTATTGAAAAAAGATATTATATATGATTTTTTTGCGAGAATCTCTTACACATTAGTCATGGGTGAAATAAATGTATTTTTGCAGGATGGTACAGAGGGGAAAAGAGAGCCATGAAGTTCGCTATCCCAAGAATTTGGCGGGAACCCACTGACCACTCAAGCAACTGCTACTTCTGCATGGTAGACCCTTCCAAACGTCGGACTGGCAAGAATGCACCTGTGATCACGTATCCGGACCTTCCTTCATTCATTGCCCCAGTGCCACACTGCCATGAGCTCCCCCTACCCACTTCTCCAGAGAGAGAGCAGCTGTCTTTAGAAGAGATCAGAAAGTCAGAGAGTGATGAAGACGTTGTAGATCCAGATGACAATTTCAGAGGTGGAGCTGAGGAGAGAAACCCATACTAAAAGACCTCAACGACTTGATCAGAGATTTTGGTCTCACCAAGTCCAATTCCGAGCTTTTGACGTCTAGACTCAAGCAGTGGAAGCTGTTGGATGAAGGTGTATGTCGCAGATCAGCGGAAGCGTCACCAACCTTTTTGCAGCTTCTTCACCCGTCAAGATGGGCTCTGCTACTGCCACAATGTGACCAGTCTGTTCGAGGCAATCGGAATCGCCTGTCACCAGAATGAGAGGCGCCTCTTCATTGACAGCTCATCCAGGAGCCTCAAAGCCGTGCGGCTCCATAATGGGAGCAAGTACCAATCTCTTCCTCTGGCTCACTCGGTGCACCTCAAAGAGGATTACAACAGCATCAAGACCTTGCTGGACGCCTTGAAAGCATGATGAGTACGACTGGGAGGTCATCAGAGACTTCAAAATGGTGGCATTCCTGATGGGTCTCCAATTCGGTTTTACCAAGTTTCCCTGCTATCTTTGCCTTTGGGACAGCAGGGACACCAAGGCGCACTACCACAGGCGGGACTGGCCAGAGCGGACCGAGTTCTCTGTGGGGAGGAACAACGTCAAGTGGGAGCCAGTGGTGGACCCCCGGAAGGTGCTGATGCCACCACTGCACATCAAATTGGGCCTTATGAAACTATTTGTCAGAGCTGTAGATAAGGAGTCGGCAGCCGTCAAGTACCTTCAAGACTTCTTCCTTAAGCTGTCTGAGGTAAAGGTCAAAGCGGGTGTGTCTTCGTCAGACCACAGATATAGAAGATCCTGGAGTGCAATGAATTCCCCAAGAAGCTCACTAGTAAGGAGAAAGCGGCTTGGAACAGCTTTGTCGCAGTGGTTCGTGGTTTCCTGGGCAATCACAAGGTCGAAAACTATGTGGAGCTGGTTGAGACTCTGGTGAAGAACTACGGTACAATGAGCTGTCGGATGTCCCTCAAAGTCCATATCCTTAATGCTCATCTTGATAAATTCAAGGAGAACATGGGAGCGTACTGGGAGGAGCAAGGCGAGCGCTTCCACCACTATATACTGGACTTTGAACGCCACTACCAAGGACAGTATAATGAGAACATGATGGGAGACTATATTTGGGGGCTGATTCGTGAAAGTGATTTACAGTATACTCGTAAATCTCGAAAAACTACTCGCTTCTAAATATTTTGTAGTCATTTTTTTATTACTTTAGTATAAATACATGCTAAATTTTAATTAATGTTGTGTTTTTTCTGACTTTATGTGAACGAATAGACACAAATTTCGCCCGTTTTCTCATTGGAAATAGGTAAAATTAAAAATATCACTGTCCTGTTCACAAAAGCAAAGTTTGTGGGGAATAATAGCCATTTTCTGTACTTTTGAGGCATAAGCAATTAGGAAATAACATTTACTACCCAGGAACAATTGTGTTACATCGTGTTATTTATTTGCATTTCTGCAATTGGTTGACAGATCCCAGCAGTGAAGATGCTCCCTGCCACACACACTCTGAAGAAGATCGCTGGGTTCATTATTTCACGAAGCTCACGGTCCACCCTACATCGCATCCACTGCACAAACCATGCCAGATGCGGACACCTGATGCACAAATGGAAAATTTTAAACTGTCCGGTGTGTGACTGCGGTCATCCAGAACAGAACTGTCCAACGTGTAACGACGCAATTCCCGATCCACAAATACGAAGAAGACATCGCGGCTGTGACGGCGATGACGACGATGTCGATACACTTCCACTCCGCTGCTCCCGACGCGGTGACCTGGGCTTGATCACCTGGATGTGAGATCGAAGTCGTTGCTCTGCATCGACATCAGCAGCCGTGCGACAGAAGAAGGATACCAAGGGTGTGGATACAGAAACAAATGGAAGACCCTAAATCGTGACGATCCAATGAATCTCAAGGGGAGCGAGTGGTTGTCCTGTCAGCCTCGCAGTACACGTGCCATTGAGCTGCGATACAGTACTTAGATTTACGGCAAATGCACCCTTGTATGTTCAGGCTTCATATTTTAAAACACATTCTCACCCAACTTGTTTTTGTTGTGAGATGACCACATCCCAGACACTGCACTTTGCTGTCGAGGTGTCAAAGACAGAACAAATACAAAAAAAAACCATTCCCACGAGCACACTTCTGCTGACGTGCACCAATTTTAATTCCCCAAAGTGCAAACGACCATGCATCCAGTTAACAGTTACAAACTTGCTGTATCAGATGAAATCCGAGTTGGTATTTAACGAGGCAAGGCTTCCCGTGGCGAGCCGCTCATCGTTACTGCCAGCAACTCCTTCCAAAGTGCAAATTGTATCGAGGCGTGTACACACGTTTGTTGTCCAGCGTTTAAGCCATTTATTTGACTTCATTTGAGAACGACTTAAAGTTGAACAATGTTGTCTTATAGTACAAGATGTGATGGCGCGGATATAGTGACCGGCACGACGATGCGGATAACGGGGGGCGTCACTCACGCGGTGTTGTTGCAGTGGTGAGCTTAGAAGGAATAGGACGGGACAATGGTGTGGTCACCTGCAGTTAGTTGCTCTGTTGGGCATAATTAGCAATTAAAGGACCGTTCCATCACCAAACCCTCTGCGACAACACCGCAGTACATTATGGCCAGAACCTGCCCTCACGTTATGACTTACTAGTCACTGATCGTTTATTGGTTGCAAAGAAAACGATGTTTTTTTTTCATTCATACCACCACTTCACCCTGAAGCCCAATAGATGAAGACTATTTGTTTTTTTTTTAATGTGATGTGGTAAAGAAGAAAATATATGATACCAGTTATGGGAAATTTCTGGGAGCACCAGGTGCTCTTCGGCGCTGTCAATGTATCTTGGGGGAAACGGAGCCACTGAAATGACCCAGCCACCTCCTCCCTACTGCTGCTCACAAGGTGTTCAAGTGTTTACGCTGCCTCAGACCCACGTGTTCTCTTGTTACACTACAGTGGGGGTAACATTTTGGCTTCATGAATTGGTATTTTATCGAAGAGCGCAGTAGAAGTTTAACAAAGAAAACTAAAAGTGATACACTGAGATATTCCAGAGATGTAATAAAAAGACATCCGTTGCACCTTGCAAGGGTAAAACAGCTTGCACAATATTGCTGTGAGCTTGTGTGCGTGGTAGCACTGGAGTGGCTTGCATATTATGCCGAGGGATTTAGCAAATTTCACCGAATGCATGGTAAACGACGTGCAGACAGTGCAAAATAAAGTTGATTATTTTGCAGAGGTTAAGGTATTAAAAAAAACACATTCCTTAATGTTTTACCATGACATCGCACACACACACACTGCCTTCGATGGCCTGTCAATCCGAACAAGCCACACGTTCCACTCAAGGTAAATAAAATAAGTTACTTTCATTGTTTAAACATTTTACAAAATATACACTTACAAAAGACTCTATACAGAGCAAAAAAAAAAACAAATACTGTTTTTATACATTTTAAAGTGAAACTAATATTTTTTTTTTCATTTTTAGATTTTTTTTTATCTACCCCCCCCCCTCCCCAACCCCTTAACCCCCACACATCGAGGCCTTTGCTTTGTGTGCCAAACGCCTGGGGTAGTAACACAGGGGGGCTGTGGTGGTCAGGGGGGCCACCGTCTGTCTTCTTGCAGGCAGTGAGCGCCAGATGCCTGCAGCGACACGGATCACTAAAACAGTTGCTGCCACCCCGTGGCGTAAAAAGTCATCGCGTGACGTTCGAGACCGCACCGACCGCGGAAGAGAGTGGCTCCAACACGCGAAGACCGCGTACACCCCCCCCCCCACCGTTCCGTGCCATGCCGTCAAACCAACACGCACGGCAGCTCACGTCATCCAAGTTTTCAATGCGGGACGACTCTGAGAGCTGGCCCGTGTTCGTGTGCGCGCGTGTTTGGCTTTCTAATTCCCGGATTTATAGTCCTGCTTTCGGGAGTTATTAAACGTTGGTACGTGGCGGTGCGCCGGCTGGAATGAATCCGAGGGCTCCCGCGACATCCCGTCGTCGCCGCACCGCGCGATTCCGTCAGGTCTCCGTCAATCCCCGCGACGGGCGGAGAGGCCTGACCGGGGGTGCGGGGGGGGGGTGGCACGGCGCACGCCGCGTGGAGAGCGAGGGCGGCGTTCGCGGAGAGGCGTCGCGACCGCGGGTGCCGGTGGAGCGGCGCGGGACGACGGCGCTAACGGTTGAGGTGCAGGCGGATGGGGTTCCGCACAAACTTCATCTGCCGCGCCGGCAGCGGGGACACGAACTCCGGGAGCTCGTTGCTCGCAAGCTGCTGGTGGGAAGGAGGAGGAACGGTCATGGGGTCGTCACATTCCGCTTGCTTTCTCTTTCTATGAACCACTCCGTGGATGAGCGCACTTGCGAAAGCAAATATTCGAATAGAGCAAGATGCTTTCAGTTCCATTCATTAGGTGTAGCCCTGTGAGCCATGAGGCTCTTGACTCGGGTGCAACTGCAACAAACCAAACATGAACAAAGAACATCTTTCGAACGTTCGATTAAAACATTGTTAATGGTTAAGAGATTACCATCTGTGTACTATAGGGAGTGTGAACATGCTGCATCCGAATAGATTCCAGAGCGTGAAGAACCTCTAAAACATAAAAGGTGAAGACAATTTAAACATTTCTGTATCCATAATACACTATAAAAATGCACACCGAGTTTTAATCGATGACTGATTTTGCATCCTGTCTTGTAGACTGAGGGCTCTCACCAATAACATCTGGCAGCCCGGCGGTATTTCTAATCAGTCATCAGGCTTGCTGAAAATGCTCTAAAGGTTGAAATCGGTCGAGAATTTGTTTAAACAAATTCACGTATTTATATAACCTAAAACATTTACAAAAAAGTATGTCCTCTCTTTTGTTCTGTATATAGTAGTTTGTAAGTGTATATTTTGTTTAAACACATTCTTCTGTTTAATATTGGTCTGGAAATCCCACACATTCCGCTTGCTTTCTCTTTCTATGAACCACTCCGTGGATGAGCGCACTTGCGAAAGCAAATATTCGAATAGAGCAAGATGCTTTCAGTTCCATTCATTAGGTGTAGCCCTGTGAGCCATGAGGCTCTTGACTCGGGTGCAACTGCAACAAACCAAACATGAACAAAGAACATCTTTCGAACGTTCGATTAAAACATTGTTAATGGTTAAGAGATTACCATCTGTGTACTATAGGGAGTGTGAACATGCTGCATCCGAATAGATTCCAGAGCGTGAAGAACCTCTAAAACATAAAAGGTGAAGACAATTTAAACATTTCTGTATCCATAATACACTATAAAAATGCACACCGAGTTTTAATCGATGACTGATTTTGCATCCTGTCTTGTAGACTGAGGGCTCTCACCAATAACATCTGGCAGCCCGGCGGTATTTCTAATCAGTCATCAGGCTTGCTGAAAATGCTCTAAAGGTTGAAATCGGTCGAGAATTTGTTTAAACAAATTCACGTATTTATATAACCTAAAACATTTACAAAAAAGTATGTCCTCTCTTTTGTTCTGTATATAGTAGTTTGTAAGTGTATATTTTGTTTAAACACATTCTTCTGTTTAATATTGGTCTGGAAATCCCACAGGTAGATGGGCTTAACATATATTTATATATATTTTTACGTTGAAAACAGTATTATGATGCATCTCCCATAATCATCCATAGTGAAAATTTACTTCTCTATACATTGCACAATGGAGTGGGGTGCTATGTTTATTTAACACGTTCATACACTCTTCCCTTCTACGTATATTGCTTGCAAGCATACAATTAGGAGAAGCAATAATATTGTTTAATAAAGTCCAAAAAGTATGGGGGGAAGATGGTCTAGAAATCACTTTTTAAATACCAAAAACTCAGCGCAGTGGCACATGGCGAGTTTAAAACACGGTCAAGGTGGTGGTGGTGGTGGCATTGCTGCACTGCGACATTCACGAACCTCGCATCGCATGGCCTTCGTGGCAGGGGACGATGGCGGGGTCACCTCCTTGCCTGGGCTTTTCTGAAATATAAAGTGCAAAGTTTTTACGTTCAGCACGCGTGATAAAAAGCCGTTGGCTTTGACTAATAAAAATTAAAAGCTGCACAACTTGTTCTGGGTAAGAGCCCACAACCTTATTATGGCGCGTATAAAACATCTTGCACTTTTGTTTAACTGGCGATAAAGTACAGGGTTTTCCTGCGACGGCTGCAGGTGAAGTGTACTCCGCAATTAACTGCGTGCGTGCCCGTGTCGTCTATACGTCACAGACGATACGCGATTCCACTTGTACATCGAGTAAGGCCACGAAGCATGACCATGGAAACCCTCGTGATCAACACTGGAAATGAGCTCTCAGTTGGGGAGACAGCGTGGTGGTTGATAGAGGTGTGCTCAGTGAGAGATACAATACCAAGTCAATCGCATGCAAGTTATCCAATACATGACTGCTGTGTCAGGGGAACATGAGGCCGACATTTAACACATGTGCTCCGAACATTGGAAAAAAAACACGAGCTGGCAATGAGCCATGGTGGCGAGATGTTAACTACCTCCCCTGGTATGCCGGAGGTCGTGGGTTCGATCCGGACCCTAATGGCTGCTGTATATTTGGAGTATCTCTCTCCCCGTGGTCGTGTGGATTTTTCTCTCGGTGCTCCGGTTTTTCCCTCCACATTTAGAAACATGTGTTTAGAGTATTTGACTGCTATAAATTTCCACGTGATAAGGCACTTTGTTCAGTTATCATGTGGCCAGGTCACGTCTGAAAAATAACTATATATAGCTCAGTGGGCCTTACCTGGTAAAATAACAAAAAGGATTTTTTTTTTAAAAAATGTGACACTTTACGTGCTGCCAAGGAACCTTGTAGTTATTATAAATAAACTTGGGCGCATGTGCGATTGCGAAAGTGGAAGGGTATTAATAGCGGGGAATCTCCGCGCGCAAGGGGGCGGCCGCTCCCGTGAGAGCCAATTTGTCACCGCCGCAGTGATTGTGCAACACGCGGCATCGCGATTGCGCGCTCATCTCAACACAAACCGTGAGCCAGGATCGAACATTGCATGGCAGAGCCTCGGCGGAAAAATCGACGTCTGACAAAGTGACACCTATTTCATCGGGGGAACGATGGAGTCAAGGTCACGACGAGATGTTCGCAAACCTTCCGGCCGTGCGGAACGCTCTTTTTCAAGGGCGCCGTGCCCAGCCGAACTTGACGTGCCGCGCCGCATTCACCCCCCCCCACTCCCAAAGCTACCGCGCCCAGCCCCCTGCGACCGTCCAGGCGTGAGGTGAACCTGCGGGGGGGGGGTCCTGCTGCTTGGGCCTCTTGGGGGGGCTCTGGGGCTCGCCCTCGGGCACGGCGCTGCACGGCCGCTTTAGCAGGGAGCTCGTGCTGGCGACAGACGCGAGCGCCGACGGCGGCGAGCGGCTCGCCCGGTCCGGGGAGGCGGCGGCCGAGCCGGGCCGCCCTTGGCGCTCGGTGGGGGGCTCTGGCAGGGACCCCGCGAGGGGCGAGCTGCGCCCGGACGCAGTCGCGGGGGGCCCCTCGTGCAGCGCTGCCACCGCCGATCCGGCGCATGGGAAGTCTGACGGGGGGGGGGGGTTTGGGGGCACAGTGCAAACAGCGGCGATGCGGGGGGGGGGCAGCTCCATGGAATCCGTCGCGTCACCGTTCTCTCGCGAGGGGGGCTCTCGTACAGGACTGCTCGTACAGGACTGCTCGTACAGGACTGCTCGTACAGGACTGCTCGTACAGCTGTTTGAAAATAACAATGATGCCTACCGTTTGTATTTTGGAAATGTTTAGAAAAATCCTTCAGGTGTTATCGCCTCTTTGTATAAACTCTCCGTACCGAGGTCTCTACTGTTGTAAGAGGTGTCGCACAATGGCTATCGCAAGGGTACATTCCCATACATATTTGCCATCGAAAAGGATTCTTGAGAAATATTCTCAGATCGTTGGGATATCTTCACTCGAGATCTTTTCTTTTCGAATCGCCCGTCAAAGTTTGGTCATCAGCCTAACAATAGAAAGGTAAGATTCAAAACAAAGGTAACATTTTAATTATGGTGTCTGGACTTTGTTTTGAAATAAACTAAGGCATGCATGAGCTATAAATATTGATGATGAAATGTAAAATACATTCTACAAAATTTAATCCAGCCAGATAGCCGAGTAAAAGTCTGAGTAGCTCAGCAGAAGAGTCAGCCCATCATCTCTCCGGGGTTATAAAACGAGTACCACTTTGTGGGGAAGTCAGTGGTTGTTCTCTGGATATGTCACCTCCCCCCAGCAATGTGGTATTTCAACCACCAGCACACATGTCTGCGAACATGTGATTAGCACCTCATTAATACTCATTTGAGAAATAACTCCCTCCGACGTTTAATCGCAAGGCACAATAGGCGCGTGGCGCAAGGCGAGTTGGAGTGCCGAGCGGGCGGCTCACCCTCGGTGTCGGCGCACTGCGGCGACGTCGCGTCCGCCTGTGGCAGGCCGGCGGGCCGCTGCTGGGCGCCTTTGACCGACGCGCGGCGCTCCTTGTCGGCACGGCGGAGCTGCTTCGAGACGGACTTGGGCACTCCACGCGCGCCCTCGCTCAAACCCTACACACGGCCAGCACCGGCAGCACCCAGAAAGCGGAGCCAGTCGGCAGCTGCTCTCCTCTCTCCACCTGCGGTCGCTGTGTGGCGTCTGGAACGGCGATTGTTCCCTTTGCTTCCTGTGCCCGTGGCTCCCTCCCGCTGCGGGCGTCTGAACACCCATGCCGTGTTTGTAAGCAGGCAGGAGGAGTTTTGTTCAACCGCCGACAGAAATTAACATTGAATCGATCGGCCCGTGGGAATTTTAGTTAACGTGTACCTGTTTCGCAGTGCACCAAGGCTTCGCATCTTTCTTCGAGCCGAGTGCTAACTTACCGCTACCTCTCCTCTGTCTGCCTACGCGTGAACACGCGCAACCGCTGCGTCGTAAACCTCACGAGCGCTCGCAGCAGCCGACGCGGCCCGGTACGGGAATGCCAGCCGCACCTCCTTCTGCAGGATGTGCGTGGGGAGGAAGGGGCACAGCTGCTTCCTCTTGAGGTGAGCGGCTTCGATCTTCATGTCCCCCTTGGACACGTTCATGGTCGCCGCCTGCTTGTACACTGAGACGCGCGCGGCACGCGACGCGTGGCTCCTTTGACGCGACGCGGGGCCCGAGCACGACGGGACAAGGTGTGGCCCTTTGCATGAAATGCCTCGCAAGGAGACAACCCACGCAGAATAAACGATGAAATTTGGAGATACACTCCATGCCATGGGTCCCGGTGGAATTAATATCGGTTCCCTCCACCGTGCATTCCCACCTCCTTAGTTATGCCCCGGGGTGAGAGTTGCAGGTTAGGCGCTAGGTTGGTTATTATAAATGTATAGATTTCGTATGAACGACAAGATTTGAAATTGGTATCGAAATTATTTTAGTTGAAAACGCATGTATAGACTTGTGTGCAAAGATAATTTTTGGTGACACAAACAAATGGCGTAAATACAGAACAGGCACCAACACTTCTGAGAATTGGCTTCTGGGAAAATGGATTTAATTCATGGGAGAAGAGGGGAACGTGGATTCTGTCACCGAGCTGCACGCACTGAGTTGAAGCTTCGTTACCGAGATAAATTTTTTTTTTTAAAGCACCGCCGAGTGCTCTCCAGTGACATTGTTAAAACGAAACATTTTTTTTATTTTAGCAGGTAAGGCCACCTGAGCTATATAGCACTATTTCAGAACCGACCTGGCCACAAATGATAGCCCAATGAAGTAGCTTATAACGTGGAAATTTATAGAAACCGAATATTCAAAACGCACGTTGATTCTAAATGAGGGGAAAACCGGAGCATCCGGAGAAAAATCCATGCCACCACAGGCAGAGAGACACGCAAAATCCAAATATACAGGCATCAGGATCGAACCCACGACCTCCTGTAAAAAAAAAAGAGCATGGCACAATGGCGCGAATATTTAATCCTCCAGCGTAGGGCTGTCAAGCATCATCAGAATGGGGCAGACGAGCGCCGCAACAGAGAGCAGCCACGGCGGTGCGGCTGTGCGACCAACCAGTGTCCATGAAGCTGTGGATGTCCTGCGTCAGGTCCACGCTGATATTGGGCGAGCTCTCGCTCTTCTTGAACACGATCCCGATGAACCAGCGCTGCACATGGTCGCCACCCCTGTGGGTCACGGGAAACATTTATAGTGTTATCCACTGCTGGATGAAGAGGCATCCCCCGCGCAATTTTTTTAAATGAGAAATCAAACGAGAAGCACTGGATTGCGACATCATTATTGCTTTTTTTTATTCAAATGTTTACCGTAAGACCCAAAGAATATGTTTAAGTAACGTTACAGAGATGACATTGGGAAGGGATACGTGTGGGAAATGATGCAGATCACGGTGCTAGGCTTGGCCTTCCGCTTGCCTGAATAAATGTTCTGCAAAAATAAGGGCAGTAATCTCATGATGAAGTACAACCATTTGGGTTTTATGGAGTAAAAAAAAAGGTCCCTGTGCAGAGAGGGGAGTAAAACTAATAAATCATGGCCGGATTTAAATCAAGCGGAGGGCAATTGTGATTGTAATGGAGGATATTATTTAATCGTAACGATTACATTCCAGTGTAATGGTCCCCAAACAGGAGATCTAAATCAGGCCACGCACGAACCTGTGCTCTCGCCCAAGGCTACTCTCCGGCTAGGAAACGTCGCGTCAACTCCCGCGTTTCACTCTCCGGCTCATCGCGGCATGCCCAGCCCTTCGCTGGCTCCTTGGGGGGGCACTTGTGGTGTCTCAGCTCTGCAAGTCGATATTATATTCATTGTGGGGAGATCACTCCTCTCCCACAGTGGCGAATACTGCACTTGGGACTTGTAATTGTCGCAAAATTCTGATTGCCAGATCTGGTAACGATGCCTGAGTGAGAGAGCTTATTTGACCAGGTAGGATTTGTCGCTGACGTGGGCCATGTACCACCGAGCTGGTGAGCCTTGCATCTCGCCTGGAACGCCCTGCACTCAGACTGGCAACGTCACCTCTGCCGGTTCAAGTACGAAAGATCGATTTACGATTGTACACAGATCACCTTTTCACCATTTAGTATTTTCCCAAAATTCGACCCTCATTGCACTCTAGGCAGAATGAGACAAATATTCCATTTGCAATGCGTGCAGAGCAGCGCCTCTGATGGAACGGTCCCGTGGAAGGAGATGTCGCACAATTACCTTGACAATATTTTTTTATTAATCTCTCATCCACACCGAGGGGCAACCCCCTTCGAGTCCTGCTAAAGAGCTGAATACTGGGTGCTTCAAAAAAGACGTTAACACTTATATGGGACTATCGTTTTTAATGGAAAAGAACGGATACTACACTGTAACATGATAACAAATATTCTTGGTTCTTTCGGTAAAGTCACGACCCGACTTCACCGAAAGAACCGAGAATATGAATCCCTGCAGTCACGAAAGCTTTAAATGATAACAAATGTGATGTTAATAGCGTCAAAAATAAAAGTCTCCACTTGTTCGCCATCATTGTCAACACGTGGCCTGGAATCTTCTCCAAGTGGTCTTCAGAGCCCGGAGGCAGCAGCACATTTCTTGTGGTATCGTTGCAAATTCTCAGAAGTGTTAAAAACATTTTTAAGCATGCTGTATTTACCGGAATTAACGAAATTTCTTTCGTTAAAAACTAAATTGATTTATGGGTTTTTTTTTTGTGTAGCAATTTCTGAATGGACTTTTAAAAACTGATAAAAAAAAATCTCACCATACTTGAGAACTGTTTAAATCACCAAACCCTGGATTCAAACCCAGGATCTCGGCAGTGCGAGCTTGGCGCGGACCTCCAAAGCAGCCGCACGCCACCACGCGAGCACAAACGCAAGGACGGCACTCACGCTTCGTTCTTGACGGGGTCGGGGAAGGCCTTGGGATTGATGTGAACGAGCGAGATGAAGTCGTTCCTCTCCAGGTTGGCCAACAGGATGCGGATTTTTGACTCGACGAGGCCGACCCTGGGGTCAACGGCAAGCGAGGAGCGCGGCGATCGTGTAAAACGACGGCGAGCTCGGCGATCGTGTTCAACGTGCCCCCCGGCCGTAGCGCGGACCGCGAACGTTCTCGAGACGTCGGAAGGCGTATCCCGGTACGACGAGAGGTCATATGAGGCACAACGTGAAATTGTTCGCGACGGTGAATGTTTTGCCGAATTAATTGTGCGCCCGCGACGTAAACGATGCAATCGCCTCTCTTCGGATACAATAACCGATGTGGCGGGCGTTGTGGGACCGCACGGCACGTCGCCACTGTCGGATGATGAGAAATGGATTCCGTTCGTGTATATTTATTCATTTGTTTTAAATCAGGCGGTGAGAATTCAAGAGACCAGGATGGGAATCTCATTTGCAAGGGTGACGACCCGGGTCACGACAATGACTTGGGCTAAACAAAGTCAAGTCACGGCAATGAACGAGAGAAATCAGAACTCAAAAAACAATGCTAAATCAAAGCCAAACATTAAATATTCCCTGCAGCGCAAATTTACTCGGGGATGGATTGACAGCGGCACCCCATGTATTTACCATTCCAAGTGCTGTTTTTGTTTTGCAGCATGCGAGGTGAGCACGATGAAATGTCTACAAGAGCAAAACAAAAACACAGACGATGGAGAGGCAATCAGAGATCGCACATGCCACCGAAACGACGACTGGAGATGGAAAAGCAACCCGCTCACATTTCAACGGACGCGCGCCGTCGCTTTCTTACTTGTATTTCTGGAAAAAGTTGGGGATTTCGAACAGCTTATCCCACCCTGCTTGTCCTAGAAGGATTTGGTGAGTGACCACCAAGCCTGGCCCACACAAGAGAGTCGGTCTCAGTGCAACGACACGCAGTGACACACACACATAATCCCTCCAGTGACACACACACACCCCTCCAGTGACACACGCACACACACACACCCCTCCAGTGACACACACACACACACACACCCCTCCAGTGACACACGCACACACACACACACCCCTCCAGTGACACACGCACACACACACACACCCCTCCAGTGACACACGCACACACACACACACCCCTCCAGTGACACCCACACACACCCCTCCAGTGACACACACACACACCCCTCCAGTGACACACACACACACACACACCCCTCCAGTGACACACACACAAACCCTCCAGTGACACACACACACAAACCCTCCAGTGACACACACACCCCTCCAGTGACACACACACAACCCCTCCAGTGACACATGCACAACCCCTCCAGTGACACATGCACAGCCAGCACCAGTCAAGGCCATCTTTTGTCTCTCCAATGAGAATGTTCACATTATCCCAGGTTCTCACTTTTAGAGGAGGTTTAGGCCAGGTTCTAATTGTAATAATATAATATATTTATCCAGCAGAGCCTCAATGATTCCCAAGATTCTCGTTCAGGAGGGCCCAGCACAGGAAGTTTGGCAAACTCTCCTTTTCGTAGGTGCTAGTAAACTGGGTTGCCTTGACAAGTCCCACACCTACGATCCAAACAGATAGGTTCACCATCACACTGCTTTGCTGCTCTCCCCTGGTCACATCGCAGTCAGTTTTTCCATCGACACGATCAATCAACCCCAGTGGCCGCAGAGTGCTGGAGAAAAGACGCCGTGCACTACCGCCACTACCGCCGCCGCCGCCCTCCGCACCGAGAGCTCGACTTGCTAACCACGCACGGCGCCCTGCGTAACGACCTTCCCGCAACGCCGCGGTGACGATGGCGCGGGAGGAGACGGTGACGTTGTAAGTGGAATTCTGCTGGGGGTACGACGGCGTGATGATTGGCATCAGGTGGCAGCGGTCCGTGGGGTTCACCTGGGAGGGGAGGGGGATCAGGGGGGACGCGGCGACACGGTTCGGGCGGCGGCCACGGCAAGCCGGCGGCCGGCCCTCGATCGCTCGGGCCCCCCGGCCCCCGCGAGCCGGGGGGCGGTGGGCGGGCCCGGCCCCCTCGGACCGTCCGCCGGCTCCGGCGTTCACGTGCAGGCCACGCCGCAAAGCATCTCTCGATCCGGACTCGGCAGCGACGTCGCCTCAACGCGTCCAATGTATTAAACTGGATGTATATAAAATATATTAAACATATAAAACATACATGTACCCGGCACAAAAATACATTTCGGCCGGTCCAAAGAAGATTTCTACTTTTTGTCAACGTGCCCGCCATGGGAAGGGCGGCACTCGCTGCCCCGAGGCTGCCCCGGGGCTGCCCCGGGGGCTGCCCCGGGGGCAGCGGCGCTCGGCTCCCTCTGCCGCCCCCTGGCGCCGACTCGGGGGAGGCGCAGCCGCCCTCCGCTCCTCCCCGGGCACGCACGGCGTTCATAAAGCACGCACCCAAGTGACTGCTTTGCGAGCAAAATACACATTCTACATTGCTGCACATCTGTACCAACTCCATAAGCACTGTTGTGATTCACACTAGATTGGCAATATTATGGGTTTATAATCATTTAGGGGTTGTTTTGTCACACAGCTGATGAGACTCAAAGTCGAAAACTGGTCCAGGATGTGCCTGTTTAAACGAGTTAACGCCGAAACACGTTGTATCAGACGGCTCAGAGGCTGGTGGATCTAAACGCGATTTCGTTTCGCGTGGTTCGTATGCTACTTTATTAACTTCATATTCAAATCGGGACGCGGTGCGAGGGGGTTTCCACGCGGCCGCGCGTCACACGACCGCGAGGTCGCTGCAGTGCACAGGGGACGCGGGGGGGGGGCCCTGCGGTGCGGAGCGGCGGCGCTCACCCGGGGGTCCCACACCGGCAGGTTGAGTCGGCTGAACTCTGGCTGCTTCAGCAGAACGGGTTTCGGCCACTCCCTGGGAACCGACACGACACCGAATCAACAACGCGACGTCTCTCTCCCGCTTTTGAGGCCTCTACAAATACCCAACGACCGGTGCTGCCAACCGGTCGTGAGTAGCGCAAACACACGCTCGACGGAATCAGCCGGTGTGGAGGAGCCTGATGGACTGGTGCATTGCCAGATCGCGAGGGATGGCGCAGGCTCGGGGAGCCCTTCATCCAGCAGCGGACAGATTATAGCCGAGGACGATGACGACAACGAATTGAAGCTGAAACCGTGACCCAAAACAGAGCGGTGCCGAGCGAACGGCGCCGTCGCGGAGAGGGGTGTGGGTGGCGCACCACTGGGAGAAGACAAGGAAGAACTTGTGTAGGAGCGTGGACGCCGTGGCACAGGGGTAGAGCTGGCAGATCCGGGCCACGAGCATGGACCACGAGACACCGCCAAGGAAGCCCAGGATGTTCGAATACAGGCCGTGGTCTGCAGGAGCACACAGACCGCGACCCCTCACGGACACACGCTGCCACGCGGCGTGACACGCCGCGACGTGTCACGGCAGCGGCTGCTGAGCGCGCAGGGGGTGCGACCGATATTAGGAAGCCACTGGAGCTATGCGCTTTTAAGTCATCGCGATTGAAAACTAATTTCTTTATAACTTGCTTTAGAACATTTAACTGGCGACTCAAAATACCCTTTAAATTATATCCGAGTTACTGGCCGGGGAAGGACACCCATGTGATCCGGTGGCTGACCAATACACGGCGACCGTTAACGAGGCAACCCTTTGAATTGGCACGACATCAAGAGGGCGTTAGCCTAAGATGAATCCTCGCGGTCGACAAGTATGGCTTATAGCAAAAGAAGAAGAAGATCGGACAATAACTAAAACCTCTGATTTGTGTCTCCACGCAAAAGAGGAAGTGCGCTCCCTGGTGGCTGATGGGATGTGTAAAAAACACCCACTCTTGTTTTTTTGTGTAGAGACAAATGTGGGAAGGAGGTGTATTGAACAGCAACCACGCGAGTCGAGAGAGAAGATTAATGCGGAGGCGACTGGCCGCCGGTGAGCGCGCGAGCCGATTTGAATCGGAGAGTGCCAGCATCACCGATCGTCCCGTCCGCTCGACGTGGATTTCTCTCACCGGCGCAACGGTGAGGAAGGAATTAGGTGCTCTACTCCAGATGGTGGCAAGATGTTACCACCTTGCCTGGTATACAGGAGGTCGTGGGTTTGATCCCGACACAGACGCCTGTATATTTTGGAGTTTGCTTGCTCTCCCCGTGGGCGCGTGGATTTTTCTCCGGCTTCTCTGGTTTTTTCCTCCAAATTTAGAATCAACGTCGCGCATTTCGAGTATTTGGCTGCGATACATTTCCACATGGCAAGCCACTTAATCGGGCTATCATTTGTGGCCAGGTCGCTTCTGATAAAGAGCAGCGTAGCTCAGCAGGCCTTACCTGGTAATATAAAAATAGTAATTTTTTTTATTTAAAGCTTTCGTGACTGCAGGGATCCATATTCTTGGTTCTTATTGTTTCCCTTCTACGTGACTTTACCGAAAGAACCAAGAAAATAAAAATAGTACAGTTTAGATTTAGACGTGACAGCAGCAGGACTCCAGCTTAGGCCGAGCAGAGTCGGGGGCGCGCCCGGCGCGACTTACGCTTCGCCCACAGCTTGACGGCGTGCAGGGCGAGGCGGAACGTTTCCACGTTGGGCACCAGGTGCAGGATCTCGTCCGTCACGCGGCAACCTACGCACGCATTTCCACGTTTCCACAGCCGCTCGGGGCGGGGCCCACAATCACGGCTCTCGCCACGCTCGCCGAGATTCATCATCATCGTCGTCGTCGTCGTCGGGAAGGAGTGGGGGAGTGGCGTTGCAGTGGTTGGCGCGCTTCGCTATGCAGCTGGACACCTGAGTTGGGTTTCTGGCCACGGCGAACATCAGCGGCACGCGGGGGACACCCGAGCGGTACCGCCGCCCGCCACGCCCCCCCCCACCTCCTTAACAACGCACACGGCCCAGTGCGAAGTATGGTCAAACAACTCTCATAACCGACTCGGCATTTGGGGAGGCCTCCATCCAGCAGTGGATTGACAGAGGGATGTACATTTATTTTATTATGTTATTTGTGGGGAAGACCGAGCAAAGTGATGTCATTCATGAAGCTGTGCAGGGGTGGTAAAGTTGTCCGCTACAGAAAGAGTTGCCTCCCCTTCTTCTTTTCAGACCCCAATGCAAGGACGACCCCACCGCGCGGCCACGCTTGCATGGCCCTGCCGTGAAAATTATTTGTACGTTCGCATGAATGACTGAGTGAAACGCCGAATGAATTGCGAATTAAACGGCAGGGGAGGCCAAGCTCTCACCGTTGAGGCTCCGGATGCAGCGAATGTCGAGGTTTCTCAGGATGTTGTCGTTTCGCAAGTCAAGTTTCTTGGGAATGCTCTGCATGTTCAGTCTCGCGAAGAGGAGGTCGATCTGCACAACGAAAGGCCGAAGTCACGCAGTGAAGCGTCGCGATAACGCCCCTTGTGCGTGGAAACGTTCGCATCGTTTTAGAACACTGAACGGTCAACATTTTAGAATTAAGACATTATCGTATTGTTGACAATATGACACCACGGGGGCGAGATGTTAACTCCCTCGCCTGGTATACAGGAGGTCGTGGGTTCGATCCCGACCATGACGCCTGCGTAGATTTGGAGTCTTCACGTCTCTCTCCTCGTGGTGGTGTGGATTTTTCTCCGGGTCCTCCGGTTTTCCCTCCACATTTGAAATCAATGTCATGCGTTTAGAGTATTTGGCGGATATACATTTCTATATAAGCCACTTCTTTGAGCTATCATTTGTGGCTGGGTCGTTTCTGAAAAAGAGCTACATAGCTTGGCGGACCTTACCTGGTAAAGTAAAAAAACAAGTTTATTTTTAGTTTAGTATGCCATGACATTGTAATTTTATTTGCATAAGATATTTTTTGATTTATTTTAATCATTTTAATTCTAAAAATAACTTTGGAATTTAATGGAAACAACGTAAATCCAACTAATTTGGGCTAACTGGTGCTCCCTGCCCAACAAGCTCGGTCTGACATAGTAGATGTATCGCAGCTGTAATTCATGGAGGTTTAAGGAGGAACGGGGAGTTACAAACACTGGGGTGCCTTTGCGTGCCAAAGACAAAGATCTCCCCGTATAGCCTTAAACAGACTGTAGAAGCAAGTGCTTTTCGCGAGCGCCTATCAAGGCTGGCACGGCACACAAGGGGGTGCCACAAAGACAGACACGCGCTCACCTCAATGCCATCAAACTTAAATCTGATGAGAGGCACAAAGGCATCTTCCACCGCCTGCAAAAGACAACAATCTACATCAGAATACATCGCGAATGTCCGTATGCACGCGCGGAAAAGACTGCCAATATATGGAGGCAACAGAAACCCAGAATTAGTTTTTTCTATCAAAAGCAAAAGCAGGACAGGAGGAGTGTGCCCCCTCCATTTGACTAGCGGCCCATGCTGGCCTACAACTCCACTGTTTCCAGCCCCCAGCGCTCAGCACTTGCACGATTGCAACGCCACTTTCTTTAAGTCCAATAACTAATATTATTCACTCACGATATATATATAAATACACATATAGCGACATGCAGACACAGACAGAGATGCCACGTATATAATTCTAATTTTATTTAAAACGGGCAGGGGGGGTGGGGGAATGTGATCCATCAGTGAGCCCAAGACTGGAGCAGCACAAGAATGGCTGCTAAGCCCGGCAGTCCGCAGGCCGAGCCACCCTCCGGCGCCGTCTCACCCAGGGTGTTGACACACGTGTTGCAGCAAGTATTGCTTTTAGGCTGAGCCAACCTAGGAGAGACCCGAGACACAATTATATAATAATTGACTTATTTATCCAGGAAAGCCACAACGAGCCGTGGGAGTCGTTTTCAGGAGGACCCTGCCGCTGCCACGTAGGGCTTTTATTTGAAGATGTTTCAGCCAATGGACGGCGCCGAGTGTTTAGTATACACGTGTGGGAGGAAACCAGAGCCTGGGGAAAACCAAAGAGCACGAGCGGGCAATGAGGGGGCAACACTCGATCTCCGTACAGATTAAAACCGATGGCGATTAGTCCGCTCGCTGCCTTCCTCCTGGCGAGTCAGGGTATGGCACCTCGACGTCCAACATTTATGCGATTCACCAACCCTCGCTGCCTCCGCAGTGCTGGCTAACGGGCCATGTGCGTAGCCACCGGCGCCCGGTTCGACGGCTCGGGACTCAATCCAGACGGCCGAGATCATCGCGTGAGCCACCGCACCGCCGACGGAGCGCGACGTGAGGAGAGGCGCGTTACCCGTATGCTCGTCACTCCATTCGTCTCCTTCAGCAGCTCGCAGAAGGAAGTGAAGAAGTCGGTTCGATCGACGTGCTGAGGAGCGACGCACAGCGCGTCGATATCTGCGTCTGCAGACGGTACGAGGGACGCTCAGAGAGAGGCACGCGGGGAACGGAGCGACTCGGGGAACGGAGCGACGCGATGAACGGAGCGACGCGATGGCGGAGCGTGCGATAGGGGAGCGTGCGACGCGATGGTGGAGCACACGACAGGCCACGGTGTGGAAACGCCGCCGCCTCAAGCTCCGCTTTGGTTCCGCACATCGACAGACGACTCCGAGTCCACCGGTCGTTACTTACGAACGCGGATTCTTTAGCCACACACACAGACCCTCCCCGGTTTAGCGTGATGTAGCGTGGGGCAAGGGTCGCTCGCATTCACCAAGGAAGGTACCACGGGACGATTACAACGGGCGGCACGTGGGTCACAAGGACGACCAAATTAAACAATAGAGGACTACTTATTTATAGTGGATTAAGAGAGCTTCATGGCACAATTTGTCCAAACTTCTATTACATACCTAAGTAATTGAAACCTAAATGCACGTGTGTGTGCAACTGCGGCTACCAACTCCTAACCACGGACCACACAAACTTCGCACGCCCCCCAAATGTAAATTCCAGGGCAGTGGATGGGTGGGTCTGCACTTCCCCAACTCTCAGACAGAGCAATGGATTGGCTAGATCACTTACGACTGAACATCCCGAAAGGGGGATTTAACAGCGACATCTACTTTTGCCTGCGCTGGGCATCGTGGCTTTTCGGGCAGGGCACCGCAACATCTCGCGCTCTCACGAGATCCTGGGGAGGGCCCCGTGTGACGCTTGCCTTTATTGTGGACGCCCAGCCGGAACGAGCCGAAAGTACAGATCTTTGCGGAAATGTTCTCAATGATGCTCGGCGAGAGATCCTGTGGAACACGGAACAGGGACGCGGCAAATGAAAACAACGGAAACTGAAACTGTGGTCGAGCACTTTGAATAACAACAACAACACCTCCACCGCCCCGTCCACACCAAACTGGACACTGTCCCACGTGACAGAGACAGCACCCCACCCTGTGAATGGTGGTGAGGCCACGGGAGCTCTGCGACTAGACCACAGCAGGGGACTGGAGAGGGGTTTGGCGATGAACAAAGACAAAGATCCCCCTCATAGCTTTAACAGACTGTTGGGGCAAGTGCTGTCAGCGAGCATCTATGAAGGCCGGCACGGCACACGAGGGGGTGGGTGGCCAGCACCACGCCCGGTCGCCTTTGTCTCCCCAGTGGCGCTGTTTGCACACCCCTCCAGGTACTCATTTGAGACCGAGTCGACTTAGGGGAGGCCCAGGACCGATTCAGATAATCATCACCGGTGTTGGCCATGAGCAGGAATCGAACTTGGGTCACCAGGTTCGTAGCGCAGCGCGCTAATCTGCTGCACCACCACTCCCCACAAACACGTGATGGACAAACGGGCTGCGACTTCGAGTGGAGGCCCATTTCTGTAGTCACGCACATTGAGCGAGAGCCGACACCACCACCACCACCGTACCTTGGCTTCAGCGAAGTCTCGGACCCACCGGTTCACCATGTGGTTCAGCTTGCCCAAGACGGCCAGCCTAAACATTGAGAAGCCATCACAACAAAAAGAAGAAGCTGCTCACAAACAGGCTGACGCAGCAACATTGTACCCCCCGGTCCTGTCACGAACACAGCACTTATCCCATTGCAAAGGTTAAAAAAAAATGACCCGGAACTTTTATCCAAATAAAAATAACTTTCTTGTCGTCCTGCATTACTTTCTACCCCACAGCATGCGTCTGCAATTGCCTATGATCTTATTGATCCGGTGTGACAAGCTTGCATTAGCATAAATACAAATGAAAGCTGCTTCAGTGATTTCATCAGGCATTGAGGAGTTTGTCGAGATTTTCGAATGTTTGGCAGTCATGGCTGGCATGCGTTTGACGTTTTCTTTAATCTAATCCTCCCGTTGAAAGATTGAGCAAAAAGAAAAAAAGTCCCCTGAAAAAGATTACAAAAACAAGTGGTGAAAAGACCTCTCAAAGGCAAAACCGAGATTAAAACAAATTCTTCAACCTGCAAACCAACGAGATGTTTGCCAACGAAATACTAATTCCATCACAATCGTTGTGATGGAATTAATGGCGGCATTACAAATGGATGCGGCGGCGGTGATTGTGGGTGCGTTAATAACGAGGCAGAAACAAAAACAATTAAATCTATCACGACAACGCGTACAGCCTTGGATTTCCTATGATCTATCATTTCATACGATCCATCGACCGGGATTAATACTTGCAGAAGGCAAAAATAATCGGTGACCAATGGCAATCGAGAAGCTTTACACGAAGTAGGGGCTTACGCGACCAATGTCATCCATAAGAGGGGTTGTGGTTAGATCGCGCAAATATACAAATATGTCGTTAAACCCGCCACCACCCAACATGGCCAATTAGTAAGGTTTGTCACGTAAAGAGAACATGCCAATTTGTTATTAGTATAGCGCACCTGGCTGTCAAATCTGCCTGTCGCCTAATGATGCTAGCTGTAATTACTGATGAAATGTCGTACTCGAATTGTAAATGCGGTGGGTGTACTCCGGTGTGCTGTACTCGTAACAAATTGGCACGTTTTGTTTACGTGACAACCTTTACTAATTGGCTGTGTCGAGTGGTGGCGGGTTTAACGACACAGAAGCTTGGCGTTTACTTCACACACCAGGGGGAGGCAATGACGATGAGGAGGAGGAGAGTGAATGTCATGACATGCACGCTTGTTGATGGCTAATGCCAAACCGAATTAGCCCAGCGACCAAATCGCTCAAACTTTATGGAGAATTGTGCAACGGGGAGCGACATCGCTGGCCAGCGTGCACAGGGCGGAGCCAAATCGTGAAGATGGCTGCATATATTTTTCTGCAGATTATTAACTGCGCTCGTGCTGATAATCTCATTAAAACGCTGTCTCTCCATGATTAAAATATTTGGGCGAGACGATTTTTTTTCTTCCCTATAATTTATCCAAATGTTATTTTTATTAAATCTATCAATGTTAAAAAAAAAAATTTGAAGTGCACGTTAAAAGGAAAAAAAAAACCTCGCCATAATTTAAGCGGCGAGCGTCACAAATGAGTCTAACGGTGGTTCATTACGATCGCGCCAGAGCGATCAGCGCGTCGGAGAGACAGGCACGCGCGCACGTGCCTCGTAATGGATCGAATAAAGTGTTGCTTTAAAACAGTTTTCACTTTAATTACGAGTCACTTGAACATCGAGAGTGGAAGATGAAGTTCTTTTAACGAGCTCATCAACCAAGTTCGATTCCAGCCACTGTGCATGGCAGTCACCGAACTCCACACGCAGCCATATCGCAGCAGGTCTCTTCTGCCACGGAAACTACAGTCGGTAAACAAGCCAATTATCCATTGCAATACGCATTATGAAAGCTCTGAATGTCGCGACTATGTTTATAATGCACTACCGTGTTACAATTCTGACCTAGAGATCAGATCGCGGAAGATAAACTGGGTTCAGCCTGGAGAATACTCAGATTGGAAGCCACCATGCACCTCACGTTGCTGTAGGCTGCAGGTTATGCGGTTGACAGCAGAAGGCAGTACAGAAAAATCCACTGTCGTGCAGTATCTTGTACATCCCACATCGATGCTCCACGCGTTCGGCGAAACCCACACCGACCAGCGCGGTGAAGCATGGACAAATAACCGCCACGAGTTACGCGGGGGGCACGGGATGCCCTCATTTAGGAGCGGATTGATAAAAGGGCCGTTGTACGCATGAAGAACGCGGTGGCGGAGACGGTGGCGGTCACGGTGGCGGCGAGTGGTAGTGTAGCAGTTCGTGCGCTGCCCTCCGAATCCGGCGACCCGAGTTCGATTCCCGTTCACGGCCAACACCAGTGACGATAATCTGAACCGGTCCTGGGCCTCCTCCAGGTCGACTCGGCTTCAATTGCCACGAGGGAGACAAAGGCGGCTAGGCGTGGTTCTGTCCACCCACCCCCTCGTGTCCCGTCCCAGCCTTCAGTAGGTGCTCGCTAACAGCACTTGCCCCTACAGCCTGTTCAGGCTACACGGGGGATCTTTGTCTTTGGTTGCAACAGTGGTGGCGGTGGTGACAGGGGGTGACAGTGGCGGAGGGAGGGAGGGTCACGACGCGAACCTTTGCTCCAGTTCCACGACTTCCTCGAACACCTTCAGCTGCTGCATGACCTCTTGCAGGAGATCGCTGGAGCGAAGCTCCTCCTCGGTGGGCGTGGCGAGGCTGATGGGCGACGTGATGCCCAGGTGGATTTGCCACAAGTGCGGCTGCGACTGACCGCTCCCGTACCTGCACAGGTGATGCAGCACGGAATGTTGACCATCATAACAATGCTGATGGCACACAGCTCTGCGTTGCTACTGACCCGTTGAACACCACCTCAGTGTCCCACTCTCACACCCCCTGCCTTGATCTGGTCTCCTCTTGAATGACTTCTAACTTACTCCACCTACTACACACCGCGCTCTAGATTAATGTTGCCAAGACAACATTAATCTGCTCAAAAGTCCACTCTTCTCAGTAGACTCCGGCGACGCAGGAAGGAAAGTATTTATCCACCAGTGGATAGACGAGATTTGAACACGTGTCCAATCTCTTAAGGCGAGAGCCACGCACGCAACAGCATGATACTTCAATGATACTTATTTATCCAGGAAGCTCACGCAGTTCCATCTAACTCATTCGTGTCCGTACAAGTGGGAGGAAACCGAAGCACCGGGAGAAAACCCACAGACGGAAACGGATGGCGATCAGTCCACACTTTTGTGTAATGCGAGCCAGGGTGTGGCACCTCGACGACCATCGGAAGGGAGTTTGACAACAACGCCTCTGTACGATCCACAGCGCTCGCCACGTGCATAGCCACCACCACCCCCCGCCCCGCTCACACATTGTACATTGCGTGGCCTAACAGAGCACTGTGTTTGTATACTCTGTACATAGACAACAAACAAATATGCGACGTGTGTGTGCCATGTGGTTGTTGCCTAACCCGCAGCAACAGAGGGCCGAGGACGGACGCTCACAACAACGGACGGAGTGCCGGGCTGATAAAAACGCAGTAAGTTGGCACAGTGGGGGCACACGTGGTTCCTCTATCGACCAGTCGTCTCAGTCAATCCATGGCACCTGGGTCTGTCCCGCGACTCCCTGCCAGTGATGAGCCTTCGACACCTACACGTGGGCTCAAAGTGCATTTTTTATGCTGAATTTATTTCGCACCGGACGTAGCCAAGCGTGGTACAAACCCTGTGGTGGCGTCACCGCCGCTGAGTGGGGAAACGGCGGGCATTGCCTACCTATGGGCGAACAAAGCAGCCACAAAAGAGTTGTAAATAAATCCGTGGCTCTTACCAAGTTGTCATTGATGTGGTTTCACTTTTTTTAAACACGTTTTTTTGCGCTGCAAACAACAACACTCTGGGTATAATGTTCACCCGAATAGAGCACCTGAAGACGGAAGCTTGTGTTGCCTCTGAAACGTCGTGATTTAATTGTTTTATTTTATTTTATCTACGTGACTTTACCGAATAAAACCAAAGAGGAAGAGCACCTCGAGTTAGCACGGTTGGCTACGTACGGCGCGAAAAAAGTTCAACATACATACCCTGGTGAACAGACACACGGGAACCCAGGAGTCGATCCAACATCTCACTCTGTGCGTGCCATTCATGCGGACGCGCAGCACCGGCAACACTTAATTGTGAGTGTATAAACATTATACGCATTACACACAGACACGCATTCAAGGCACGAAGGTGAATCACAGAGAGAGGCGCGCCTCTGCCGGTGCGAGTTGTGTTCCCGAGAGCGCGTGCGGGCTCGGGGAAGCCCAAAGTATCGCTTGCGCGGACCACTCACTTCGCCATTCGCGCTTCGGCCAGAAAACAGCACCGACAACCACTCTCCCTCTCGTTCTGTCCCTGGGGGAAGAGCCGATGCTGAGCTCTGAGAGCGAGAAGCCGTGACTTCTCGTCGCGCTGGGATCTTTTTGTCCCAAGCCAATATAGACGCCACGACGTCAAATAGGAAACGTCTTAGGGGGGTCTATGGATGCGGGGGGATAGGTTGAATGGAGAGGGGGTCGGTGGAGGAATATGTGGAGGGCAGTGTCGAAGGTGGAGTGCTGAGAGGATGGAGGTCGAGGTGAGTGGGTGCGAATGAATCTGGGTGGTTCGGCGAGTCAGTGATAGAGGTTGGACCTCTGTTCATGCGCAACAGCGCAACGCAGCAGTGCCACGCCGCGCTGAACAGCGGTAAACACAGCCTGGCCCACGCGCCCCCAGACGTTAGCATCGAATTGTTGCGAGTCTCTGTGAAGCGAGGGCTGGCGCACACCCCGAACCGCCGCGCACGCGTGGAAGGGGGTGGAATCGCTCGGCTTCCACCATCCCACGGTGATCTCCGCATTCTTAGAAACACTGCTGCTCGGCTTGTTCCGAGTCGGCATTACCAGCGCGAGGCACTAGTGTACAAGGTACGCCGATCGATCATAATCCTGCATCGTTGTTCCCGACATTCCTAGAATCCCTAAGAACAAACAGGTTAAGGGCAATATGAGCACCGCTTCTCGTGATACCTGAAGGGCGGTGTTCACAGGCTCACGCGCGCAGCACCAGCAACGTGCCATGGCATTCATACAAACACTGTCACGCCGACGGTGTGCGCACGCCTGGCGAAGCACGTGCACGTGTAACTTTAGCAGATCACTCACTTCGGCATGTGAGCAGCGGTCAAAACACACAAAGTCTCTGACTCTCTCTCTCTCGCGCGCTCTTCCAGCGGCGGCGGGACACAGCTGGTGATCTCGGGGCGCGAGAAGTCGCGTGCGGGATGGGACGCGGTGGAGTTTTGTGCGAAGTTGCCTTCAATCCATCGCCGATATACGCCTCGCTGACGTCACAGGGATGGCCACGGCGCTGCGAGGTGGGGGGGATGGAAGTTCTCCGGGTCTCGAGTCGAGGCCTGGCGGGAGAGCGGTTCGCGGATGGAGGTTGGGGCGATGAGTGAATGGAGAAGCTGGTTTGGTGAGTGATTGTGGGTGAGGGTGAGTGTGGGTGTGGCTTGGTGGGTGAGTGTGGGTGGGGCTTGGTGGGTGAGTGTGGGTGGGGCTTGGTGGGTGAGTGTGGGTGTGGCTTGGTGGGTGAGTGTGGGTGGGGCTTGGTGGGTGAGTGTGGGTGGGGCTTGGTGGGTGAGTGTGGGTGGGGCTTGGTGGGTGAGTGTGGGTGAGTGTGGATGGGGTTTGGTGGGTGAGTGTGGGTGGGGCTTGGTGGGTGAGTGTGGGTGGGGCTTGGTGGGTGAGTGTGGGTGGGGCTTGGTGGGTGACTGTGGGTGGAGCTTGGTGGGTGAGTGTGGGTGGGGCTTGGTAGGTGAGTGTGGGTGGGGCTTGGTGGGTGAGTGTGGGTGGGGCTTGGTGGGTGAGTGTGGGTGGGGCTTGGTGAGTGAGTGTGGGTGTGGCTTGGTGGGTGAGTGTGGGTTAGTGTGGGTGGGGCTTGGTGGGTGAGTGTGGGTGTGGCTTGGTGGGTGAGTGTGGGTGAGGCTTTGTGGGTGAGTGTTGGTTAGTGTTGGTGGGGCTTGGTGGTTGAGTGTGGGTGAGGCTTGGTGGGTGAGTGTGGGTGGAGAGAATTGTCTATTGAGCCACGCGAGATGTGTCGCCAGTTGCCACCTCGTGCTGTATTGCGGAACGCGCTCGCCATTGCATCATACTTCGCACATCGGAGCCATGATGACGTAGGTGGGGCGAAGTTTGCAACTAGCAGTAGATAGTGACTGACGATCAATTAAACACCATTTTGTTCATAATGTTGCAACGGGGTGGTATACCAACTTCTGCTCGAGGCCGTTGCTTACTATATGAGAACGTGCACGTGGAGACCGAGCACGTGGAGGTGATGGTGGAGGCGATAGGAGGGTGGAGATGAAGCTGCATCGCGTATTTCGGGGCCTCTGGGCGAGTGATCTCTCTCTGTTCGCCATCACCCCCCACTCGTTCTACTCATCCCTGCCGCCAGACTTATGGAGGTTACGAGTAGAGCTGCCACGATTAGTTGCTTCATTGACTTCAAATTGGGTGACGTTACCAAGCCCCACCCCGTAACCTCCCGTCCAGCGGCACACGTGGAAACGGGTGAGACTTTTGCTATTTTCGAGTTATTAAGATTAGTCGAGCAAGTGGTCGGGTAAATTGGTGGAATCGTCTCTTCGATGATTGGATGGCCCAGCTCCAGGTGCGAGGCCGATGCGTGCCCCTTCACCCGCTCTTGCGCAAAGACAAAGGTCCCCCGTGTTGCCGACACAGACTCTTGGGGCGAGTGCTGTGTTCACCCGGCGGATGGACGGCTCTCTCGGGCCCGCGTCCACGCGATGTGAGAGTTGGGCGTTTCTTGCTTCATTGCGGGACTCGAGTTTGAATGTTTATTTTTTGACCCAGGGTCACTCTTGCGAACGAGACCGACCATCCTCTTGGTCTCTCGAGTTCTCGCCTCGTTCACTAAAACAAAATAACATCGGAGCTTGAGCATGGCCCGCGAGCAACGATGCCCAATCTCCACTCCCGAGGGTGCTTGCCCGGCGCGACGGACAACATCACGGGGGCCCTCGCATCAGCATTCGAACACGCGTGGCTCGGCCGCGGTGGTTACAGAGCGGTTTATTTCCGCAACAGCTTGTGTTTGTTTCGCATCAAAAAGGGTTATCTCGCTCTCAGGCCCATGCACATCTTTATTTGAAAAAAAAAGCACGTGATTGCTCTAACTTTTTTTACCCGCTGCAAACGGTGAGCCAATTCGTATTTAACAAGTAGTTAGCGGAATCTCTAAACCAATTAATGATCGAGAAAAGCCAAGCAAATGATGTGTGCAGGGGAGCGGGCAAGGTGCGGGTGAGTGGGCGTGCAGGGAGAGACGATATCTTTACCAATCGGTAATTATTTTCGTTTGGTGCGAACTCCCATTACGGGCTTCGCTTTCAATCGAGCGGCGGACCTGTGCTCGTTCTCATCACACCCAGTGGCCAGGATTACGTGCGCCGCGCTAATTGCTTGAACGCACGCGCCGTTAATGAGCCCCTATGCGTGCCAAAAATCACCTTCCCACGTGCGCTCACTCCCCCCCCCTGCACCGCACACCCCCACACCCCCCTACACCCCCCACACCCCCCCTACACCCCCCACACCCCCACCCCCCCACACACCCCCCCACACACCCCCCCACACACCCCCCACTTCCCCACCCGTTGCTCACCCCCCAGGGTCCCCCAACCCTTGCCTTAATCCTTAATGGCTCCAAATCAAACTCATTCGTTTCCAACCGCCCTTTATCACGGCAGGGGGTTTATTTGCAGCCTCCGACGGATCCACGTTTGAAATAAAACCGACCAGAGACATTTTCGCGAGTTTTGAGCCGAGTTCCCATTTGAACGCATTTGGCAAAAGCTGATGCTTTCCATAATTGATCACAAAGACTTTCCGCTCCCAGCGGAGTGGTTCGCGTAGAGATGGGTGTCGTGGAACCCGCGAGGAGATGGGTGTCGTGGAGATGGGTGTCGTAGAGATGGGTGCCGTGGAACCTGCGTGAACACCCGCGGCGCCTCATCTGCCGTGAACTTTCGCGGGACCGCGAGGGGCGGCCGGTAGCCTGCATCCAGCGGTGGATTGACAGACTACTTACTGCAGACGATTATTGTTATTATCAGTGACATTGTTTCGATTGTCGTATAAATGTAAACACGCAAAGCTACACGGGTTTCGAAATGAATCGTGACATTGTGAAGGATGGCGATGGAGTGGGGAGGCCATCGAACAGTGGACAGAACTCGGCTGATGATGACATTTATTCAAACCGAATTGGCCGAACATTACAATGCAGGACCCACCTGACCGATGAGACTCTCGGATAAATAAGTTCATTATTCCAAGCAAATATTTGGTATGAGCACCCATAACAATTATTTCATTTAGCAGCTGTTAATGCATAGAATGTAACAGTGAACCACAGCGCTCAGAGCTGATCTCAAACCAATTTCTGCACTTAATGGAATTGTCGATGTCTATTTTTATTTATTATTATTGAATATGTATGTTGAACTTCTTTCGCACCGTACGGTGTCAATCGTGCTAATTGGATGTGTGACATATATCCATATATATTTTTTGTAAAATATAAACGTACCGTAAAAAACACAGCAAACATGTGTTATATTTGTGTCTCCATGTCTTCCCCCCACTTGGTGAATGTGTGGGGATAGTACGCGTTTGCTGGACACGTGCATATTGTGTATTTGCTGAATTCAAAAACAACAATGAGCCATTCAATGAGCATGCCTCTTCAAGGTCAACACAATCAACTGGCAATTGTGCAATGGAATGCACCTGGGCCACTTTCCGCGCTGTCTTTTGAATACGTTTTTTTTATCAAACGTTATTCCGATTGTGCCTTTTGTAAATGTCACGAGACATGAAGGGATCCATCGGAATACTCTCAGCAAGGGGATACGATCATATTTGTGCATTAGAGAACGGCGCGTGGAAGAATATATCACAGAGCTGCATTTCAGATTCCGTGAAGTCACATTATTGTCTCGAAAGGGAGCACACTTTTCGACGACATGCCCTGCTGTCGAGAAAGTGTCCTCGTAATTATAGATGAGCCAATCATTTACAAATCTCCAATAAATTGAAAATCCATTTTAATATTCTGGTTTTAATCTTCATTTGAAGCTGTCGTGACTGCAGGAATCATACTCTCTGCTTCTTTCGGTAAAGTCACGTAGATAGAAAAAATAATAAAAGAAAACACGACGTTTCGGTCGCAACACAAGCGTCCGTCTTCAGGTGAGGTTTTCTTAGAGACGTTCGCCACTTTACAAAAGTACCCCCAGCATCTCAGCAGACCTGGCTTAGTGCTGTGATATTATGAAACTATGCAGTCGTCAATTGACTTGCGGTACTCGCATCTCTTGGCCATCTCACACCCCAGCGGGTTTGGGAGTTTCGCAGTTTTGTGCAATCCACCAACCCTCTGGATCGGTGCACACGCGCCACTTCGCCGGCTCACGGCTTCACAACATCTCCCCAAAACAGCTCAAAGTGTGCATGCGACACGGCTTCGGCCATTGCACTAATAGGACATAAACTGTCTGGGTGCTGAGCAGCAGGAATGTTCTTTATCTGCTTGAACTACTTTTTCTTTTCCAGGAAATTTGTCTCCTGCCATTGGTAAAAAAAAAAAAACTATATCCACGACGATAAGATGAAAAAAAAATGATCCCCGGACAAAATAAAACCGTGTCAAGCACTCAAACACACTTCACTGGAAACCTTCACATCCCATGGGTGCACAACGCCAGATACTAAGAACCAAGATTAGCATAAGGCACTGAAAAAATATTGAAGGCTGAGTGATTGTCTTTTACGTTACGACTCTCTACCAGGTCTGCATTGGGCATTGCACCAAAGCCCGCTGCGGGGTGGAACCCATGCCAACAGGGGCACCCACAGACAGCACAACTTATAATGGCCATTGGTGAGGATACCGATGGTACTAAATCTGGGCCAAGACCCAATGGACATTGTGCAGCGCTCGTCTTTTAATAGTGATCCTGAGGCAGTGTTGAACATTCCACATTTCTATTGCAGAGGCCAGTCACTCTCTCGAACATTCACTGTTGATATTCTTTGGGTCTTTCGGTAAAGCCACGTAGATAGAAAAATAATACAATTAATAAAATAATAACAATATATGTATCATATTTTCCTTCCTCAGCAGCTCTCCCGCTATATTTTTCACCTGATGACGATTGCTTGTGTTGCGATCGAAACGTCGTGATATTGTTATTATTTTTCTATCTACGTGGCTTTACCGAAAGACCCAATGAAAATGAATTCCAGCAGTCACAAAAGCTTTAAGTCAAGATTCACTGTTGACTTGCCACGTTGTGGTGATCATTTCATTGGCCCCAGAGGGACAATGGCCTGAGTCAACCGTTTCATCGATTGGGTCAAATTTCCCAAAAGCGAAAGCTCATTTATTGCAATGGATTCACAGGCCGATGGTGGACCCCCAAGAAATCGGATAGGGGTCTGGGGCAATGCAAACGTCTCAGGGTGCTCTTTACAGGCCGATCCGCATCTCTCTACAAGACTCCGGCTCGTTACGTGACTACACAATCACAAAGGCAAAACAAAGGTGGCGAATACGTCCAGTGAGTCTTTATTCTCAAGCCGACGGCGGGGCGGCGCGTGCTCTCTGTTGGGCCAGCTGCGCAGGGCACTACCTGCGGCACCGATGAGCGGCGTGAGGTGGGCAGCCTGAGCTAAATTCCTGGCCGTGGCTAACGTCAGTGCTAACAATTATATGAACCAGTGTGGTGAAGTATGGCTAAACAACCCCGGTGTGCAAGAGGACATGGGCAGGCTTTCATCCGGCAGTTGATTGACGGTGGGCTGTGACTGGTGGCGGCGAGGGGTTTGCGGATCACACGAATGTTGTGAAACTCCCTTCCCGTGTGAGTCGAGGTTACCATACCCTCGCTCGCCAGGAGAAGGGGTCTCTCCAGCAAATGTTGAATCCACTCGCATGGGAGAGCGGGTTGCCCCCTGTGCACGCGTGGGGTTTGTCCAGCTGCTTCGGTTTCCTCCTCACACGTATAAACACGGATGAAATGACCGAAACATCTTGATACATAAAGGACCGCTGAGCTTGGGCAATTAGCACCACCTCACCGTCTGGCTGCCTCCCAGCTTGTCTGCGGTCTCTCCTCTCGCCTCCCAGTTTGTTCTCTCTGCGAGAGCGAGCGACGCGTTGACATTCTCACAACTTGTATGCGGCGACTTCGTGCCAACAGCCAGACAATTTTTCACAGGAACCCATTGCGCAGGGAAGGGCTGTGGGACATCGCCACGAGGTTTGCGAGGAGCCAACGCAATACAAGATCGCTCGATAACGGCTTCGCCGCGAGCCGTCGCGCAAAAACAGTTGCCGACAAAATGATAGCGGCGCGCTCACCTGCGATGCCGAACTTCACCGTTTAATTAAGCGAAAGCAAATCGGGGGGGGGGGGGGGGGATGGAAGAAGTGGAAAAACACGGAGATGATGACAATGCCTCTTGGCAAACACACACTCGCGCTTATAATTTGCACACCGAAACCGTGGCGCGTTAAACTGGTGGTGTAATTTTCCCAATTAGATCTGCTAACAGTTCGTTACGTTTCGAGGAGACAGGAATAACACGGAGGCCCGGAGGCAGGGGGCGCATGGGGACGCGCGCGCGTACACCGCTCTCCAAACCTGAACGTTTGTTAAAAAGTTTATTCCGTTGTATTTACCGCCTCTTGCCTGACACGTCGCACGCCATCGCAGTGGAGCAAGTGGCCGTGGCTTGCCGAGGGACATTAAGAACGCCGAACCCAAGGCCGAATCGCCCTGAATGTGTACGGTCTTATCAGATTCTCAAACACAAGATGGAGTGGGGGGGGGGCTGGTTAATGTATGGATGGATGATCGAGCAGGGCTTGTCAGGTGTTATAGGCGTAGGGCTGCGAGGCGGCCAGGTGCTGGCAGCTCTTGAGTGTCACTATCTCGCGTATGTGGATCTTATCCGGGTACTCCGCCGGTTTCATCGCCGCACGCCACTCATCGACGGAAATGGCCAAACATCCCAGTACAGGGCCCTACCTAAAAAGGACCTTGAATCTCAGGGAAACTTTCCAGGATAAACCGCGGGCATCATTTATATATTTTTTCAGACTCTAACGACATAAATAATGTTTTTCACCGGGTTGGTGTGGTATGTGTGGTATTATTCATGCTTGTAATTGCACTGAGCGAGGGAGAGACACACACACACATGGATTAGAGAACACATGCGGGTTAAGGACACTCAGTCAAACTGTTAAGAAAATAAAGCGGGCTTGGGCAGAACCCGTCAGGGGAAGGAGGTGATGGTCACGACTAATGGGAGACGCAGCCAGGGGATGGAGCGCGTGTGACGGAACGTCCAGCGCGGAGATGGAGCGATTAAAAGTTCACGTACAGGAGGGAGGTGGATTGTTACCTCGCATGATTATGAGAGAGCGTAACCCATTTTGGAAGTCTTTGTCCAGCAGTGGATTGACCATGGCTTCAGATCACGTGGGTATAAGTTGACTCCCGGCTCATATAAGCATGGGGCATTACTTGTATCCATTTGTGGCCCGGAGCCAGCGGTGGAAATTCCTCAATCTTATGGGGAGGATCAGTATATCTATAGGACAATTACTAGATTTCTGATAAAGTGGTAGGTATTTTCAGGACCCTGGAGAGATGGTTGGATGAATTGACTCCTGATCAGGATTGGCTCTCTCAAATGTGACGAAAGCACTCAACATTTGACAGCGCGAAAATATTTCGACCCACGTTTCATGTCGTCACATGTTGATGCGACTACAAATCGCATTGTTGGTCAATGCATAGGGCGATTGGTGTGCCTCAAATATACTGTTCGGGTGAGACGCGCCATCAGCAGTGTGAAGCGGCCTCGACTCCTATATCGCCGATCCGCCTTTCACCGTTTACCGATCAATATGCCGCACGTGTGTGATGCGGGCTATATGAATTCATATCCGAACCGTGGTGATTGATAACGGGCGGGGGGGGGGGGGCACGGTGATTATAATCAATAATAATAATAATTGAGTGCTGTTCGCCGCCGTCTCTCTGGCGCTGTTCTCGAGGCGACACCACGCGCCTGCCCTGCAGAGGGCGCCAGAGGCCCGCCTCGCTGCGTGCCTGCGAAGCCTCCCCGATGGCCACTCAGGCCGACAAGACTGCGCGTTGAGTGGGGGGACACTCATGGCACATCCCACACAGGCTGCTGTGCCGTGCACTCATACTGTAATGGATGGGCGACAGCTTCGGGAGGCCTCCGTCCAGCAGAGGATAGATGATGGCTGATGATAATGACAAACCGAGGCTTGAGGTATGTTAGGTCTATGATGATGTGTGTGTGTGCAAGGTTGGATGCGATGCGCAAGTGTAATGTTGCACAGTGAACCAATGCAATTAAGCACATGTTTCATTTTCTCCCGGTTATGTAGCAACAGTGCTATCGGTGTCGTTCGAGAGCGTGGAGAACGCCACAAAAGTGCAGTCCCTGTACAGTCTTTGTGAGGTCTCCGACTCTCTCCCTCTCTCTGTGATTCCTGGCAAGGCGGCGCAGCGCCGAGTTTGTCCCGCGACGGAAGCGTGGTGCCTGGCACGGCAGTGGGGTCCAAAGGCTCCATCCTGTCCTCACAGCTGCCATGACCCACATTTATATGAACGAGCCACGCGTCGTTTTTGCCGACATCACGTCGTTACGCGTGAGAAACCTTCACTTGATCGAGGGCGAATGCAACCTGGACTCGAACTCAGGTTCTCGGCGGTGCCAGGCTCCGTGCCGTGTGGCGTCGATCCCCCCTGAGCCGCTTGCCCACGTCAACAAGTTCGGGGTGGCGCCGTGCATTTGAATCGCAGCTGTGTCAAAATGTGAGGCCGTAAATATCCGAGGAGCTATTTGATTCCAATAATTTGAAATTACGAGGAGCCGGAGTGGAAATGAATGGCTGATTGATTTGTTCGGCGCTGGCTGGGCAACGCGTTCTTTCGCGCCACGAGACGCTGGTGGAATTTAATTGCATCGGCGTACGGTCCATATGCTGCCCCCGTGGGTTAAGTTTCCTTAGCTACTTAAAACAAAATTCAAGTGAATTCTCATGCCCTAAGAGTGAGTGGGATGTGCATCTGTCACCGACAGCATTTCTAATAGAATGCAGCGTTGTTATTGTGTCACGCAATACACAAAACGGTGTGGGCAAGATTACGCGCGGTTAGAATTGATTAACTTGACAAACATCAGGGGATTAATTTAACTTGGGTCTGATCAGAAAAATGAAATTACCAGCACTTTTTTTTTTCCCGGCACGCGCATTGTGTGCGGACATTTGATTTGCATTTGAATGCGTTTGCGCATGAAGCCACAGTGCGTGCGGGCACGTGTATTGTTATCTTGCTAGATGCTCGGGATCAGTTTTGGCCGTAAATAAATAAATAAAATCGGATGTTTAAAGACAAATTTAGATTTCTTCTAGATCGTTTCCATCACACGTACTCGTGTAAACAAAAACAATTCACGCGTGCACTTGGCTCGAGCGCTCTTTGGGAAACTCCAATCCGCTCGGCGAGGACTCACCAGTCCAGCTTTTCTCCCAAGCACCCACGTCGAGTGTGGCCAATGCCGCTAATTGAGTGATTGATGGCTTGCCGCGCGATTCCCCTCCGCTCTGTTGGCACTCCTAGCGACGAGCAAACCGTGCTCACCGGGCTCGCTGGGCTCCACACGTGCTCACCATGCTCACCGGGCTCACTGGGCTCCACGTGCTCTCTGTGCTCATCGGGTTCAACGCGGGGGGAGCCGTGCTGGGTGGTTTAGGCGGAGAGCGTTTCGCTGCTGTGCCGCTCACGGCCCGGCTGGCTGGGACACTGCGTGGAAACCAGCATCGGCACACGTTTCGCGAGTATTTATTCGTGACAAAGTCGCGCTTGTTATCGGCTTTCGCATTGTTTTTTTCCATTGAAGTTGTTTTTTAACGTTCCTATCGAGTGACATAGCCAGAGGTTTGCGGTGTTGGAACAATCGGAGCATTGCGAGCGCCACGGGCTCGCGCCTCTCAATTACCAATAGAGAATGCAGCAGACTACCGAGTCCCAACTACCGAGTCTCAACCTTTCTGCACCTGCAGACCACAACCAGCCCTCAGCGAATATAATTGCAGAGCAGCGTGCACCGACAGCACGTGTCTGCAACAGCTCCCCGCACGGCTTACCCACGGCCTTGCGGTGCACCAGTGGGCCGCAGGGCTTGTGATTCACTGCACAGGGCTCGACTCAACTAAACCATTTTTATTTTACCAGGTACGGCCCACTGAGCTGGAAAGCCCTTTTTTCAGAAGCGACCTGGCTATCACACATGATTGCTCAATGAAGTGGCTCATCATCACGTGGAAATTTATAGCAGCCAAATATTCTCTAACACACACATTTATAAATGTGGAGATAAAAAAAAACAGAGGTCCGCAGAGAAACATCCACGCGACCACGGGGAGAACATGCAACCTACAAATATACAGACATCATGGTCGGGATTGCTCCCACGACCTCCTATATACCGGGCGAGGTAGTTAACATCTCGCGACCATGGCGCCCCAGACTACGAATAATGTTTTACAGCCCTTTGTAAATCCACTGCTGGATGAAGGCCTTCCCATGCTGTGTCGGTCAGTGCGGGTTTGTGCAGGACCAGTTCAGATGTCGCAAGCAGTGGTCGAGAATGTAACTGTCTTCCTCAGGGCTCACAGTGTAAGCGTGCAAACCGCTGCGTTATCACTCCACCCCCCTGTTTGGCTTGTGTCTACGATCTGTCATCGTAGGCCGAACACAAATTGGCATTGGAATTGGGAAATGTGTTCAAACAAGTGAAACGTGGAAGGCAAATGGCCTGCCGCATTCACCTGCAATTGTATATGGAATATCAGCGATAGCACGGATATAACTCTCATTGATCAGTGAAGGAAATCCTGCACACAAGTGGTGACCCGCTATTGAAATCTGAGTGAGGAGGGAAGATTTTTTTCTGCTGTTGCTGCGTTACTGAGAAAATGCATTTTTTTGCTTCAGAAATGATGATTGGAATGTGCAGGATGTGCAGTTTCATGAATACACAACCTCGGTTTAGCTCCGTGCATTTTCTATTCCTCCTTGACGTGCGCCCACCTGTCCCCACACTCCGTGCAGAGTACAGATTCACAACTCGACATCGCAGTGAATACGTGCAGGGCTATATTTGTTGGTAATTTAATCCAACGCACATGGAGGTTGTTAGTAACTAAATTAGAACAATACTATTTCTATTTACATAGTATCTTTCATCAAAGACCTCAAACCGTTGTACACTAAACAACAGCAGACAACTTTGCATTATAATAACTCAAGGGACTAAACGCTATGAAATGGCAAAAAATAATGAAATAAATAATATAAAGCCATTAGCTGAGTGAACTAAAATTTATACTTCAAGAACATTTCAGACAAGTAAAAAAAATATGGCCACAGACTCAGAGATCCTGATATCTCGTGCAAGAGCGTTCCGGAGGCTGGAGACTACGCAGGAAACAGTTCGGTAGCCCGTCGACAAAAGCCTTGGCCTGGGAGCACAGAGCATCTCCATCTTTACATCTCCGAGGCCTTGAGGGGGGCTGTGGGTGCAGCGCATTTCTCTGACGAAGAGCAGCTGACGTGCAAACCCAGGCCGCGCGGGTAAGCCACCAAAAATAATAAAAAAATGCGATTCCTCGGTGGATTGGGGCAAATCATTGGGCACCCTCTTCCAGCGCGCTCATGGGCACGGCGCAGGAATGCCTCCGCCTTTTGTTTATGGCACCGGCTGCAGACGTGTGGGCACACGAGGAGTCTCTTCCCAGGTCGGTCCTGCAAGGGGCCCCCTCTAATTACCAGACATTGATCTTCGCTGCGGGTCGATAGCTTCCAAAACAGCGCGGCGCTGTGTGGCCATCAATACCAGCCGTGGAGTTGGTGTGGGCACATGCGAGTCTGCCATTAAAAGTAACCTCATTGGTCAAAGGCAAATTTTTATACTGGCTGTGCAAAAATTCAATTAAAATATATTTTGTTCCCCACATAAGTTTGCTTCTTTATTTTCTTACGTATTTTTTTAGTTCAACCTCCAATTGACCTTTTCTTATTAAATAGTATTCTTGATTTTAAGAAAAAAAAAGAAATAGATTTTCTTGCCAGGAAATCAAAACACTTCCTCATGGAGTTTTTCTGTTGTTGTAAAACGTCGTATTCATTTGATTTAGTTTGTGCTTGGCAAGCCTTATTGTTCTATTGTGGCAAAAGTAACACGCTTCAACACATATAGGAATAATAATAATAAGTCCAATTTGGCATCTGAAAATTTGAATCTGAATTGATCAACAGTTTATTAGGAGTTTTGGTGAGAAGTGGCAGACACAACCCATGGATGCATATTGAGGCTTCAGTCTTATATATGGGGAGGCTCCCATCTGCCACATGTTCTATTAACATCGTCAGATATGGTTTGTAGAGTTCAAGTAAAAAACGATTTACGTCTGCCGACGCTCGGCACATTGGTTAGAGATAGCAGGCAGGGGTAAATGAACAGCGAGCAGACGGCGCTGCCTCCACCAAAACTCAACTCCGCGCCGCTGCTCACGGTGCTGGCGGCGTCGTCGTCGTAACCCCATCGGCTCCACCCCCCCCCGTCCCATGGCAAGGCCGGGCGCCCATCCTCGCGGCGTGCGCTCAAACACGACCCATTACTGCCTACAAAATGGTACCGTAATCTGCGCGAGGCTAATTCCGCAGAGCGATGCGCGGGGCATTTATGGAGGCCGCGGTCCTAACGCGGCTTCGCCTCTCCTCCGCATTAGGGGATGCGCGAGCCCGTGTCGGCTGAATTCGTATTTAGATTATGCCCAGCAGGGTAATCTATCGTGAAGGCTGCAGGCTTTGGTGGGTCATTATACTTGGGGGTCTTTAATATCTTTCATTTATTCTACTGATAGGCTTGGCAGGGGGAAATGGCCCTTACTTTATTAATTTCACAGTGCATTGAAACAGTGTAAAAATGTAATCGGCAAAATCTTTGTCTCACGCTGTGATGCTCATTACAATGAAATTGCGTCGAAATTTGATGAGTTTTTTTCATATCCTGCCTTTTGTATACCACTTAATTGACCTTCTTATTATTAATGGGATGCTTTAAAGTCCTGAAAATGTTTGTGGGAGGAAGCTCGTAATTCCCTTGCTAAAGTTGCCACCTTTAGGTGGCCTAACAGCCATTAAGCCCCACTCGGCATAAATTGACTCAAATGGAGGCGCTCGGGGGAGCGATATCGC